CAAACAAGCAAAAAGCCAAACTCCAAACAAACCAACCAAGAAACCCAAGCAGTTCTGAGATGAAAATATGGACCCATCATAGGAGTATTATGTTACTTCCTTACAAAAATATTTTTCCAACTCAAAACCCTCTGAAATTTGAGAAAAAAATCACAAATAGTATCAGCATCCCCGAAAGGCATTTTACATAAATATATTATTTAGAAAAGGAGAAAAAAAGGAAAAAAAATTAAAAAGCAGTATCTATGACCCAGTTTTAACTGAGGCTGCTCTGCAATAGCTCCAGAAGCTCCTTATCTCCTTTCTCCATGGGGCAAGGACAAAGCACTTGTGCCCATTCCCAGGCCACTCATGACCTGCTCACCAAGGGCTATGGCAGCATGACCAGTTAATTTCTCAAACACAATTAATTAGTTTATAAACTGATGGATGCAAAAGGTCCAACTCACCAGTGTCATGTCGTCACAGCAAGCAGCACAAGTACAGGAGGCAGCGTGAGGGTTTAAAATCCCATCCTGGAATGAGAAGTGACCAGCTCAGCACCACAGTCACCAAAATTACTGAGAACACACCTGTGTTCTGCCAAAATATCTGGATGGCTCCCAGAGAGAGGTACTCCCTCCCTCCTGAATCCTGTACAGTAACAGAGGCCAGTTCCTCACACTGCAGCCATGGGGTGACGGTCAGGGAAAAACAAAGGGAAACCAAACCACTTCCACACAAAAAGACCAGCGTATGTAAATCTGAGGCTTTGTCCTGCCCAAGCAGAAATCCCCTGTCAGCCTGATGGCAATGCAGGAGTTCTGCAGGAGACTCCTGGGTGTGCAGGAAATAAAGGGTCCAAACCCTCAAAAAACAGTGCAAGTGAAGAATACGAGTGTGAGACAAACGGAACAAAGGAGATCTCACAGCGAGAGCCCAGTTCCTGTGACACAGCTCAAGGCTGGGCTTCACCATGCAGAAACTCCAGCCCCTTTCCAGTACAGGCAGGATTCCCAGTGTGCTATTTGAGACACATCTAGAAAAACTCCCCTCAGGTCACTGAGTCCCCACCAGAGCCGGTGTCACTGCAGGTGCCAGCACGCCCCTTGTGCAGAGGCAGCCCCTGGCCCTGCCAGCCCCTCCCTGCAGCAAGGAGGGAGCCAGGGGAGCCTTACATGGATAAGGCACTGCAGGGGTCGCCCGGCATAGCGGATGCTCCTCTTCCAGTCCTTGCTGCTGGCTCGGCCTGCCATGGCCTCAAACTCTGTGGGGCTGTACCAGTTGTCCCCCTGCTTAATGCACCTGCCACGGCCCCCTGAGACAAAGCAGCAGAACACAGTGTTAGTCCAGCTTAGGGGTCATTTTGACACTTCCCTGGAGAAGGAAATACGGAAATTGCTGGGCAAAATAGCCGTTAATCCACAGCCATCACCAAATGTGCTGCTTCCCTTCACCCTGGAAGAAACATGTCCAGTTACTATCATGGTTGTGACAATGACTGGGCATGTTTAGAGAGCTCCAACTCTGGGCCTCAAAAGGCTACAAAAATTGCTCCTCTACAAGAAGGAAAAGCCTTTCTTGCATAAACACCATGAATTTAGGCCTTTTCTGCCCATGAAGCAAGGGCTGTGCTGGGCAGCCAGGCTGCTGCTTCTCCAGCTTCCCCACAAGGATAAGTGAGAAGAGGAGGAGCTCAGAAGCCCTGTGAGGAGACAAACTCTCCATTTTCATTCCAGCAGGGATTCTTTAGGGCTTTGTAGAAACACAAGTCTACTCCTCAGATGAAAAAAACGTTAGAGGAGTTGGCCTGCTCCTGAGGACACTCACTGCATGGCAGCCTGGATCCCCACAGGTTTAGGAAAAAGTTAAAAAGCCTCTGAAGAAAGAGCAAAACAGATGAGAACAACAATACCAAAAGGCACTGGGATGGCTTGGAAACTGCTCTGACAATCAGCCCTTAGGAAGAGCCTGATGAAAAGAAGAGTGTAGAAGGAGCTGTCTCACTCCTCCTCCAGGCCATGGTTACCTGAGCCGAGCCTGTTCTTGTACAGAATGCCACTGATATTCCGACACCTCACCGGGAGCTCGTTCTCGTACACAGACGGGTCCCAGTTGTACTTGGTCCCAGTTTTCCCTTGGACAGTTGTTAACGGGGTAGGAGGAGACTGGGGTCCTTGGAGAAAAGAAACCAAAAAGAAGAGTGGCTGTTCCATCTCACAGCTGGGCTAGGGCAGCAGGGCCCAGGGGACTGGAGCAGCTGGAACATCCCCACAAAGGTGCACCACAAAAAATTCGGCTTGGTCAAACTGAAAAGGACTGATAATTGAGCAAACTGCACCAGAGGAAACGGGCTCTAACAGGGAATAAACGCTGAGGTTATACCCTGACCCTCACACCACCCGTAAGGAGCTGGCTGGACCTTCCCCTTCCCGGGGCCGATCCCGTGAGGAGTTCGTGCCACCTTGTGGGCACCACGGAAACTGCCAAGCAGCCCTGCACAAAACCCCAGCGATAAAGACACTAAAACATCAGCAAGTGGCCTGAATGGAGGTAAAAATGCATTCCAGGACCCTTTAAAAGAAACCCACGTGCAGAACTGGGAGACTCGTATTTTTATTGTCCACGTTAAAAGGATTCGTGTGCCCTCGGGGGTGGGATGGCTGTAGGAGGAGGCCCAGCAGCAGGGTAAGATTTTTCAAGCAGCTTCTTTGCCAGGGTTAGGGCAAAGAATGAGGAAATGAAATATATTTATGACAGAAAAAAAAACCCAAAACCTAAGTATTCTTGTACTCCCAAGGAGTGCAAGATGAAGGACTTGATACCTTAAAGGTCTTTTCCCACCTAAACTAACTGATGGTTGTAAGTGGGGACAAACGATCCTTACAATATTCTGCACATTTTTAAATCCTAGGAACACAGTGGAAGTGAAGAAGAAGGCATCCCCCTGGGAGAATGACCCCTGAGGAGCAGGTTGACTCATACCTGGTGTGAGAGGTGCCGAGGGCCCCTTGATGCCCGTGGTTTCCACGATGCTCCCGTCCGTGTGCACCACGATCAGAGTGGCTTTCTCAGGGTTCAAGCTGTCCCCAATCTGCAGGGCTGTTCTCCCAGACTACAGAAGGAATCAGGAGTTTAAACTGATTAAAGGGGTTAAACACCAATAGATTTCAGTATCCCTCAAGGGTACCCTAAAACTGCAATCAGTAGGGCAGTTATTAGGTTAATTTTGGAGGTTTCAGCCGAGCAAATTCAAATGTTTCATCTTCCAGGTTGCCAGTCCCATTACAGAATAATTAGATGGGGGTGGAAAGGCAAAAAAAATTATGAATAAAAACCTGCATGTCCCCCAGCTAACGGGTTTGTGGTTTAAAGCCTGGATAGTGCAATAAAAATAGATGTTTGACCTTACTACAGCTCTTTATTTACACTGAGCAAGTGAGACTTTGCCAAGGCCCTCAGATGAAAGGCCAGACTTACCAACACGTGTCCTGAAATTGAAGCTGCATTGGCCACAGACGTGGTGAAAACATTGTCTGCAGAGGCCCCCACGTTGGCTACTGTCACTGTGGTGACTTCTGCAACGTAAAACAGGCATTAATTTAACATTTGGCTGTAACCAGAGAGCCTGATAAACAGCCAAAACACCAAATAAATGTAACTGTGCCTATTCTAAAATAATTTTATTTTTCATGACACCTGTAAGTTGTTATAAATGCAATCATTGTGATTTTTATCAAGCTTTGGGTTGCACTGTCTTTAACCTCGAGGCAATGACAGTTGCTATGAGCATGTGATGAACTAAGGGAAAAATGAATATCGTATCTGCTGTACTCGGAATACCCACAGATAAGCTGCTTTTAATGAAAAGAGGGGGGACTGAAAACACCAGGATAAAGTGAACAACTGATTGTCCCCTTGCCGTGTGTTTATACCTAAGTTGTCATTACCAGTTAGAAACGGCACAAACTTATAGCCAAATGTCTCTGTGGTGTTCAGCCTGGCTAAAATCTGAGGATTTTCATGTGTGGTGAGGGTAAAAAAACAGCCGGAGCGGAGGCGGAGACCCCTAGTCGGGCACGGGGGCTCTGGGATGTTGTGGTAGCGCAGCTCGGCTGCAGAGCCCTGCGTGTCTGGGGCACTCTGTAACGGGACACGGGCAACGTGACTGCAGGACTCCCGGCCCTGTGCATGAGGGGGCAGTGCGGGCCGTGCCCAGGGCGGGGGCGGGCCCCGCGGGGCCGTGCGGGAGCCCCGGGCGGGCCGAGGGAGCGCTGCCCGCCCTGACCTGCGAAGGCGGCGGCAGCGGCGGCCTCGTCGGCGCTGGGCATCGGCGGCGCTCCCATCTCGATGTGCTCGGCGTCTGCCGCCATCACCGTCACCGCCTCCTCCTCCTCGGGCTCCGCCTCCCCCTCGGCCGCTCGCGGCGGCTCCTGCTGCTGCTGCCCGGGCCCCGCGGCCAAGCCGAGCCGTGCGGCCGCCGGCTCGCCGTCGTTGTGCTCCATGCGCGGGCCCGGGAGAGCCGGGCCCGGGGGGGCCGAGCCCGTGCCCCGGGGTGAGGGGTGCCGGGCTCAGGGGTCCCGGCGGGTGCTGAGCCGAGCGCGTTCGGGCCCGTCCGGCGGTTTCCGAGGGCGCCCGAAGCGCCCCGAGCCGCCGGGCGCGCGCTCCCCGCGCTGGCCAATGGGGCGCGGCCGGGCCCGCGCGCGCGGCCCGCGGCGGTACCTGACGGCGCGGGGGGAGCCGAGTCCGCCCGAGCGCGGCCGAGCCCCGAGCGGCCCGGCCCGGCCCGGCCGGCGGAGAGTCCCGAGCGCGCTCGAGCCGCTTCCGATCTCTGCCGAAGGCGGGAGCGAGAAGAGCCGATCTGTGCCGAGTCCGCTCCGATCGCGCCCGAGCTCCGCTCGCCGGCCCGCACGGAGACGCCCGAACGGGCAGCGCCCGAATCCGCCCGAAAGCCGCCGAACCGGGCCGAGCGCTCCGATCGCGCCCGAAGGCGGGGGGGCGGGGCGAGCGGCCGCGCGGGGACTGCCGGGACGGCGGAGGACCGGCGGGGCGGGGTACCAATATGGCGGCGGGGAGTCGAGGTGAGCGATGTCGCGATAGCGACACGACAGCGGCGGCGACCACGACACGACAACCATTTCCGGGGCCAGGAGGGAGGGCTCTCCCACCGTGCGAGAAGGGACCTCACGCGGGGGGAGCACGACTAGAGCGGGGCGGGGCCCCGGCCGAGCCCAGCCCCGGTGCCATATCGCAACAGCCCCAACACGCTGCGCTGAATCCCCTTAGCAGCGCGAGCAGGGCTTTGGCGCTTGTGCGGGATGGGGAGAACCTCTGTCCCCGGGCAAGCCACTGTCCTGAGCCCGAGAGACCCCCCTGGAAAACGCAAACCTTGGCTTCCCATCCCGAACCGTGGGATTGAGGAGAAGCTCCTCATTAGCGAGGCCAAAATGAGTCATTGCCAATTCTTTCAAACGGGTCAGAGTTCTCTTCTAAAAATGTACATTTCTGGGCTGGGGAGACGGAACTGGTTTGGACAAGTTTTGCCACTCAAGACCAAAAGGTTCCTCACGCCGCGTTTGCGCAGGGAGGGGCTGGCGGTGCCGGCACCAGGAGGGATTCGCTTCCCGGCAAAAGTTAGACCGTTCTTTGAGGAAAGGGGTCGCGGTCCGCCCGCAGCCATCATTTCTAGTGTCACTCACAGTCGGCTCCAGAATCAGCACCAGCCCGGATCAGTGATAAAGGTGTTGTTAGCTAAAGCACTGAACGGATACACTCAGCTGGTTCAGTAATCCCTCTCCCGGGATGCTCGGCCTTTCCCTGTGCGGTGTCCCTCTCTCCCCGCGGTGGCAGCACATCCTCAGGAACAGCAGCTGCCACCCCGTTCCGGGCACCGCCCCCTCCTGGGAAAGGACTGAAGGAATCAGGGCTTAGAAATGAACCTGGGGAGGGAATTTATTTCTCTCGGGGCTCCCTGTGTGACTTGTACCAGTGTGACTGGCCCCCGGCACTGGTGCTGCAGCTGCAGGTGTGGATACTGAGTCAGCACAGAATCATGGAATGGGTTGGGTGGGAAGGGACCTTCAAGCTCATCCAAGGACACCTTCTACTAGCCCAGGTTGCTCCAATCCCTATCCAACCTGACCTTGGACACTTCCAGGGATGGGGCAGCCACAGCTTCTCTGGGCAACCTGTGCCAGAGCCTCCCCACCCTCATAGGGAAGGATTCCTTCCCAATATCCCATCTAACCCCGCTCTCTTGGAGCTTAAAGCCATTCCACTGGAGTCCCAAACTGGACACCGTGCTTGGAGTTGGGGGGGATTCCTTTGGGCCCAGGTGCATGAAACTGAGGTGCTGAGGACATGGACCTCAGGGATCCAGGGATGAGGATGGGGATGTGACAGTGAAATGGCCTCTCAGGTGGTTCTGCTCCCTCTGGAACAGCAATCCCAACTTTGCAATTCCTCGTGTGTCTGAGGCAGGCCAAGAGTATTGATGAGGAACTTTAGAGGTGCTGTAGGAGTTGGTTCCATCTTGTTCCACAGGAATTTCATCTTTTACTAAAGATAATAGGGAAAATAGTGAAATGCTGTGGTTGCATCACTGAAAATCCTTGGTTTGGTTTCTGTGGGCGATGGGAACACGCCGAGTTTTGACAGGGAATGACTTTGTGGAGGGAACCAGTTTGGAGGGATAGTGTTTGCAGGGATGGTGTTTGCAGGGGTGTTGCTCAGGGGCACCCAGGAGCCCTGTGCTCTCCACAGACTTTCTCACAATTTACAAGCAAATGGTCCATTCTGGTTCCCATGTCTCCATCCTTCCTGCATAGTTAGAGGGGATGAGGTGTCACCTGCTGGGAAAAGACAGGATGAACAAGTTCTGGATAATGCCTGTGCACTCCTTTAGGCTTTGAAGGAGCCTCAATTTCCTCAGTGAAAGTGGCTTTTCCCAGCAGGGATTTCCCCCAAATTATTTTAGGCTTCATGTACTTGAAAAGGTTATTTTTGGAACCTGAACTCCAGGATCTGAGGAAACAGTAAATGTTCCAGTGAGCTGAAAAAAGAGATCCCTACAGCATCCTGGTACTGTTGTTTGAATGTCTCTGCTGCACTTCTGGTAAACATTTAGACTTATTTTCTTCTCTTTATTTTCTCCTTCTCCATGGAAAGGAAGAACTTCAGAGGTTGTATCCTTTCTGTGCCATTCCTGCCTCTGTGTGGGAATCCTTGGGAAGACTGGCTGAAGTGGATCCACATGTCCTGCCCAGGAAATCTGCACAGTGCTCCTGAGTTTTCCATTGGCGCCATCCACAGGAAGCAGAACTGCTACCACATTTCTCCACAGGGAGATGTTTTGTGCAGATTTATCTGGGATCTGGCCCTAATGGGCTCCCACTCCTGCAGAAACCCCTTTAGCCCCCTGCAGCCGTGGCAGAAGGCTGGAAACCTCCTTCTGTTATCAGTTAACTCTCATTTTCTTAGGAAACAAGGCTAAAAGGTGGATTTATGGAGGGGTGGACACGCCCCCCGTGCAGCACAGCTCACACACAGCTGACACAGCTCACAAGGGGTAGTAAAAGCAGCTCTCAGTGGTATTTCCTCCTCTTTCATGGTAATTCACCCCACCTTTACTCCTGCCAGGATCCAGGTAACCCAGGAGGAGACACCCTCAGCTCTAGACATTTCCATGCTTAGAACCTCTCTAGTAATTTTTTGCTCCACCTTCCTTCAACTGGAAAAACCCCCAAACCTGGTTCTGTGTTAATGAAAGGAGCTGCTCTGGGAACTGGAATCCATCCACGGTGCGTGGGTGGGTCCAGGAGTGGGATGGGACGTTCCTCCAAAAGATGCTTGGGATGAAATCCCTGCTTGGAGGTATTCAGAGGATTTGAGAAGGGCTGGGGAAGAGAGGGGAGTGAGTTAAGTGTGTTCCTTAGGGATTTGCCCCTCCGAGTGGAGCTGTGGCCGTTCTCAGCCAGGTGACAGCACAGCTTTTCCATGCTGTGGGCAGGAAGGGGGCCTGGCCGCTGCACAGAGCCACCTCTTCTCCAAACTCCCAGGAATGTGATGGATTGGAGGCTGCCAACCCTCTGTCAACTTCCTTAGGGCTGGCTAAGAGGTGTGGAAGTTGGTTGGGGCAATGTAGACGTGCACCCCCCGTTTCCTCAGGCCAACAGATACCCAACTACAGACCAAATAAAGTTCCCTAAAAAAGGAACTACAGCCAAGCCTGAAACAGCCAGCTTTTATCCCAGCTCCTGGTGTTTGCAACCTCAAGTTCCTTCCTGAACCCTCCCCACAGGCCAGGCATAGCTGGACCATTCAGTATAAAAAGGCAGAGCAGTATATTTTGGGAAATGGTGATTTTTATGAAATGGGTCCCATCTCCTCTGAGAATCCTTAACAGCAGTTCTCAGCTGTCATCGCTTCCCTTACAGATCCTGTTTTATGTAAATGGGATTTATTACACCTTCTACTTCTTGGCAACTCTTGCAATGATTGTTTACAAAAGTAAGTCGCAGGTAACCCAGAGCAGGCCTTGCTTGTGCACAGCTGGGCTTTGCCCTACTCCTGCTGAGTTTTCCTGCTCTATTTCCCCTGGCTTGTTCTCCAGGTCAAGTTTTCAGTTATCCAGATGATTTCCTGGCTCCTGATCTTGCCGTGCTTTTCCTTATGACCGTGCTGGAAGTGCCTCGACTGTACCTGGGTAGGTCATGTTATCCCTGCACCTTTTTGTGGAATAGAACCTTTAAACATGAATCATTTGGAAATGGGATCTGTGTCAAAACACATCAGTTTAGCAGGTATTTGGAGAGCCCTGCACCTCTCCCTTCACTCCTGAAGCCCTGGGCCAGCACCAGCACCCTCCTTTCATTAGGACAGAGCAGCGTGAAGGGCCTCCTGTCCAGAGCTTGCCTAAACTTATTGTAGTCCTTTCTTTAAAAAAACCCAAATCACTATTAAAATCTGCTTGATTTTTGCAGACATTTATGCAGGGTGGGGCTCTTGAATCCAGCTGACTGGCTGTAGGGGTGGAATTATCCTGCTGCCTTACAGCTCTCAGTGTATTTGCTTGGAGCCTGGTCCATGAATAAAGGAGTGAGTTGCAACTCCTGTGTAGTTAAACACCAAAATCTACTGAGACAAGCCTGGAAATGGGCTGCAAGGAAGAGATAAGTGCAGCTTCTCCACACTGACAGTCATTTGAAACAGGAACAGATTAGCAGGGAACAGAGAATTGTCTATACTGTTTAAGATTTGACAGCCAGGACTGGACTCTGGGGGTCACCGAGGTGTCCTGCTGGGGGGAGGTTTGATGGTTGATTAAGAAACTGAGTGATCAGAAAGACTGCAGCTTCAGAACTGATTCTTGTGGTAAGAAAATGTGCCCTGACTATGACTATCCACTGATGGCTCTTTATTTAGATAAGCTGTGATTCATTTCTCTGTTTGGAAATGGATTGTCCATTGGTGTTGAGTTTGCTGTTAATTTGCTGGCAGAGCCTTGATTCAGGCTGGTATTTCAATGTCTTCTGAGCCTCTGTAAGGCTCAGCAAGAGCAAGGTAATAACCAGAGCCTTTTGGAGCAGGAATATTCTGGAGTTATGACCTGAGCTACTGTCAGAAGGAATCAAGACTCCTCTGGCCTTTTGTTTCCTCACAGGTTGCAAGGGAAACCTGAGGGAGGAGGAGGGTGCGCTGGGGCTCAGCCTGGGGCTGACGGTGGGCAGCGTGGTGCTCAGTGTGTACCTGCTGGCCTGGCAGACCTACGTGCTGTGGGCTGACGTCGTGCTCACCGCGGTGCTGCTCTGTGCCTACGGGCTGGAGTCGGGGCTCAAGGTCACGGCCATCGCTGCCTTCGTCAGCTGAGCCCGGCACCCTGGCCTTCCACAGCACAGGGGGCTTTCAGTTCAAGCATTTAGTTCCTTTGCATGGAGAACTTGTGTTTCAGTTAGAAATTCTTGGGGCAGAGATGTCCCTGCGTGGCAGGTGAGACGTCCTGCCCAACCCTTCCCTGACACTGTCCCACTCCTGGCTTGTTTATGGGCAAAGGCAAAGGATGAATCGGCAAAACCCTCAATGCTCAGACACTCACCAGGGATCAAGACTGAATACCCATTCCAACCCAGGACAGGAGTCAGTGCATCATCCCTGCTGGGGTGGTGGGAGTTTTCATGGCACAGCAGCAACGTGCAGCCCAAGTGGCACAGAAGTGAACCAGGCCAGGACTCGCTCCTGCCTCGCCACTCACACGGCCCTACAGCTCCTCTGCTGCTCTCATTTGTGCTTCCAGACCTCAGTGGGAATTTCCCTGACTTTAGTAGGGCAGAACCTGGTGTATCCCAGCGGGAGACAGTGGAACTGGGTTTTGTGCATACCCAGAGAGCTGAGCTGCAGGGTCTGGGCAGCTGTTCTTACTGACGTGGAACGTGAGGGGATGTTTGGGAAATATGATGGCCTCAAAATGAACAAAACCGTTCACCACTCACACTGACTTCTGTTCTTTTTCAAAGTCAAACAGAATGTTGGCATGTGGATTTCTATTTGGTGTTGATTACCACTATTCTGCAAAAATTACTACATTCAAGCCTTGTCTTTTAACTGAAGAACTTGTACAAGTTCAGAGTTTTTTACTGTATCAAAAACGTGTTAATGAAAAGCTTGAGGAGTTTGTGGGGTTTTAAAGAAGCAGGTTTTATATTCAGAATTTCCTATTTTTGTATTTATTTATTCATTCAAATAAATAATGTTTTAGATCTAAGGAGTGTTTGAAGTGCAGAGCATCTTGTTCAGATCCTGGGCTCCAGCTAAGCCACCAAAGGAAGACGCAGGTGTGTGGATGTGTGTGAAAGCCTCTTCTGATCCTGCTGCTCTGTGTAGGCCCCTCTCCTGTCCTGGGAAGGTCTGAGCTAATTTGCTCTCAACAGGGGCTGAAAATTGAGCGGTGCAGGCCTGAGGCACCTCAGCCTATGCTGCTCTTTGCTTCTTGGTGGTGGTAGAAAGGAACAAAAGACACAGAAGTTGCTGTGGAAGGGCCCAAATTCATCCCTGGTCATTCAGTGGTTGAACTTGATGATCTTGGAGGGCTTTTCCAACCTTAAGGATTCCAGTTCCTAAAGAGGGCTTACAAGAAGGCTGCAGAGGGAGTTTTCACAAGGGCCTGGAGTGACAGGACAAGGGGGAATGGCTTTAAGCTGAAGTAGGGTGGGTTTAGATGAGATACTGGGAAGAAGATCTCCCCTGTGAGTGTGGGGAGGCCCTGGCACAGGTTGTGGCTGCCCTATCCCTGGAAATGTCCAAGGCCAGGTTGGATAGGGCTTGGAACAACCTGGGCTAGTGGAAGGTGTCCCTGCTCATGGCAGGGGGTGATAGGAGATGAGCTTGAATGTCCCTTCTGACCCAAACCATTCCATGGTTCAACTCCCAGGCCAGGTAACAACAGGTTCTGTCCACATGAGACCACTGCAGTCACAGTCACAGTACCCATTGGCACAAATCCCCTTGGACAGGTCCCATTTAGTCCGTGGCACAACTGACCCTTTGCTGCACCCATGAAACAACATCACAGCAGCAGAACTGGGGCTAAGGAGCACCCAGAAACCACCAAATGTTTCTGTGTTTAATCTGCCTGAATCGAGCCCCCACCTATTTGTCCTCCCAGGTTTGTTTGGCATGATGGAATGTGCCATCACATGCTTGTTACGAGGAGTGACCAACATTCCGAGCCGTCCCTGCCCCTTAGCAATCAATGCACACGAGCAAACCCTTCCTGCATGGGGACAAATACAAGCATAAACTTTTCCTGGTGTTCACACCCGCCTTGCACAAAGGCCTGGCTGCAGAACATCTGTCAGGTTTACAAAGGACACGCTGCCAAGTGGCATTTTTACCTGAATGCAGGTGATCGAGCAGAGGGGGTCGCACAGGTCAGCGCCGAGTCGCAGCCTCCACACGGCCCCTTCCCAGGGTGACCACTGCCAACTAAATAAATACAAAACATGTTACAAAATGCGGGGCACCCTGTGCTCCCTGCCCACCATCCAGATGAAAAGTAAGGGTCAGGGGAGAGTGCCTGTGCTTGCTGATAGTCCACAGGGTAAATATGCACAGAGCACAATAAACATGAGTTTTTGGGCTCGTTTCAGAGCAGGGCCTGATGGCTGGAACTGGACAGAGCCCTGGCTGGCTGTCAGTGCCTGCTGGGCTCAGCTAGCACCGACCTGGACTGGCTCCCTCACCAGGACAGGACAGCCCTGGTGCGGTTTCAGATAAAACTGTCCATGAACTGTTTTCTGGGGTACTGCTGCTGCTGACAGCCCTTCAGTCCGTGATGAAGGATGAAGTCTGGAAGCTTCAGACAACTCCTTCATCTCGGGTATTTCCAGGCTTTCAGTGGGAATTACGCTGCTGACCCTGATTCCGTGACAGCATCTCTCCACGCCAAGCTGGTACGAAGACCCAAAGTGAATGAGCTTCAGAGAGTTCCCCTAATCAGGAGCTCCTTTCCAAACCATTCCCTCTGCTCAGAGAAGCAGGGAACACATAGAGAAGCCATTGATGACATTTGCCAGACATAAAATCGCTGGAGCTTTTAATTATGAGGCCCAGCCCTTCTGAAACAGGACAAGCAAGTTGGATGCAAACAGCATTAAAAATTGAGAGGAACACATATTTTGAGGAGCTGGGTTTGGGTGGTGTTTACTCGACAAGTCTTTGTTCTCGAGCCATCCCAGAGGTGTCTGCCGCCAACCTGATTTAAAAGGCTGATCCCAAAAGGAAAGTCAGCCCCCTGGGATTTCCAGCTTGGAGGTACTGGGACATAGGGTGTTACTGCTGCATGACTTTGTAAAGTCCCTCAGCAGGCAGGAACAACGTGCAGACAGACCCCAGCTGGAGTAGCCCAGTGCTGAGGGAAGGAGGGAGGCTGAGGACGTGCACTCGGTGGGTTCCACACCTGGGAGCTGAGGCCGGAACCATCATCAAACCATTCCATGATTCCACAGTTGCCTCTGGCCCAGCTCGACCGGCCCCAGCTGTTGAAGGAAGGTGTAATAAGCTCCATTGTGGTTTCCTTCCCTGCCCAGGGGAAAAGTTGCCTCCCTGCTCACAGTTAGAGGTTTGCTGCGGGCACAGCAGCTCACAGTAGCCCTGTCTGCACTGTGCATGTGGAGCTGGATAGCAGGCAGAGCCTTCCAACAGAATCCTGCCAACTCCCTGTCTGCGTCCCAGGCACGTGAGCCCAGCCCAGCAGTCCCACTGAAATACCCCAGTGATGCACTTCAGGGAGTGGGGGTCTCCTGCACAAACCCTTCTGGCCGGCAAGGCTGACATTCCTGCTGCGCTTCCCTTCCGTTGGACCCACATCCCTTCCTCCGCCCGGCGGTGTGGCTGGAATTCCCTGAATCCCGCATTTCCTAGGGCTGGCCGCGTTTTCCCAGTGCATTCCCCTGGGATGTCGGCGAGGAGGGTGCTGGGGCGCCGGGTGGGCACATCATTGCGGCTCCGCTGGGCAGAAGAGGTCGTGCTCCTGTCAAAGCGAGCTGCCAAAGCCCCGTCAGGCTGGGAGCTGGCTCTGCCCTCCTGCCCGGCTCCCCCGGCACTTTCCTCCCGCAGGAACTCAGCCGGCGGCTCCTCGGAGCCGGGCCTGGACACGGGCCAGGCTGCGAGCTGGGCACAAGCCCCTCTAAGAGCACAGGAGCAGCAGAAAACTCAAAAATGTCCAGCTCAGGAATTCGGCCTTCGCCACACCACTGTCCCGAGGTGGAAACTTTTCCGCCTTTCTTTCCCTTGTGTCACAGTCCCAGCTGTTTGTTTCCGGGCCGGTGACACAGGGTCTCTTTAGATGAACATGCCAGGGGTTCAACACACACCCTGGGGTGGGGTGGAGGCCTGCAGGAACACTATATAAGCACTTCAATAAAACACTCTCAAAAGCCCCGATTTTTGGAGAGGACTGGCTACCCAGAAGGATCTCACCCTGCCATGGACGTGTCAGTATGACACAGCAGATATTTTCCAGCCTAATGATCAGTTCATGAGCTGACCCCATCATTTTAAAAAATCTTAAGACAAATGAAACTGGGCACTACAGAAGTATTTCTTTGAAAGTAAGAAGTCTGCCCACACAGGAGACTGTTTCCAAGAGTCCAGGGTCCCTCTGGGCCCCCAAACACAGGGTCTCCAGGGCAGACCCAAGCACAGCTCACACACCTTCTCTGCAGTCCAGCTCAGAAACTCCAGAGTGGCTTTGCCAGCTATTAAAATTTCCCTCTGGCTTTTGAAGAGCAAGAGAAGAGCAACAAGAAATAGTGTGATAAGACTGCAGCTTCTAAAAATCCTTCCCAGAGTGCCCAGGAACAACACTGGCCTTGGCACAAGGGCTGGAGTTCAAGTCCTACCTCTGCCACTCCAGCAAGAAGTAGCTCTTGCCTTCTCCATGCCCTACCTGGGGCCCAGGTGAGAAGGAGACGGTGGTCTTGCTCCTGACAACACTGATAACAGAGCCTGGACATCCCCAGGGAGGGCTGATGGTACTGCAGTGGCACAGGGGTGCTCCCTGCCAAGGCTGCTCCCTGCCCCAGCCCTGGGAGTGTCCAATGCCAGAATGGATGGGGCTCAGAGCAACCTGGAATAGTGGAAGGTGTCCCTGCCCATGACAGGGGGTGGCACTGGATGGGCTTTAAGGTCCCTTCCAACTCAAACCATTCCAGGATTCTGTGGCCAAAAGGGTCACGTCCAGTTTTCCTCTGGCACACAGGTACAGGGGCACACAGTGTGGGCAACGACAGGTCCCTTCATCAGGGATGGGGCAGCAACAGCTTCTCTGGCCAATCTTTGCCAGGGCCTCCCCACCCTCACAGGGAGGAATTTCCTCCAAACACTCAGTCTAAACCTACTCTCTTTCATGGAAGAGCTGGGGCAAGATGAAGGACCTTATGGCCAGGTAACCCCAAGGATTGCCATGGAGGGGGTACCCCGATGGATACTCTCCCCCACACCCCCAAGTGCTCTGGGGACTGGGACAGAGAGGACACTTTGCCCCCTCCCCCCATGTCCCAGCACCTTTCCCTGCTGCAGACATCAGGGAAGGGAGAGAAGGCAGGAGAGGCGCTGGAGGAAAACAACCCGTGAGCCGGCGCGGAGAGCCCTGGGCTGCACAAAAGGGGCCTTGTTCCCCCACGAGGCGATCGGGCAGCACGTCCCCTCCCTCACCGGCGATGGAAAACCGAGCTCCAAGCACTCCTTCACCTCCCCTCGCCGCCTTACCCTCCCCATTTGGTACAAAATGTTCTCGGGTGCAGGAAACCTGCAGTTTAACACGTCGTGGGCTCCTGGTCCCCCTGCCCGGGGAGTGGGCGAAGGCCCCGCAGCCCCCGGCGCTCCCGGGGCCACCAGCCCTGGTTATACAGTAACCTGTTGCTCCGGGTCCCAGCTCCACCTCTCGCTGCCTCCACATCCCTCCCCTCCTCTCTGCTCTGCCAAGAAACCTCTGTCACCTGCTCTCAGACAACCGGGGCGAGCGGCACCGGGAGGAAAGGGCAGCAGGAAGCCTCAGCACGGGGACCCCAGGCCGGGGTGCCGGGTGGGCTCTGCCTCGGGCTCCCCTCCAGAGGCTGGGGCACCGGGATCGCAGGCTGTGCAGGGAGCAGAGGGAGCTTGGCTGCTGGAGAATGGCAGCAGGATTTAACTAGGAGGGCACGGAAAACTGGGAGAGAACACACGGGAGCAGAGGGAACTGCGGGAGACGAGAGCGGCTTCTCAGCACCGGTGAGT